ATAAGGTAGTCTGCAGTCCCCATTTTATACCTGAGTCCACACACGTTTTATGCCCAGTCCGTAATGCTTAGTCTGCGTTTTATACATCAGTTTGTGTTTTATACCCAGTCCGTAGTCCATAGCCTGCAGTCCGCAGTCCACAGTGTGTGTTTTATACCGACCATGTAAATTGACACCAACCATGTTTGTTCTGTTGGTATGCGAGACAACATATTTTATTGCCAAAACTAGGACAATTATTTTGTTTACAAACACGACTTTGAATCGCCTTGGCTTTGGGGTAACAGGTACAGGGCATTTTCACTTCTGAAACAATGAAACGGAGGACATGTTGGTGTACCAAAGGAACCCTTTGGGAGTTGAACTCATTTCCTAAGTAAACACTTCTGTTGGGTTTACGTCACATAGTTTGCGCACAGAAATCTAGGCCAGCAAAGTGAAAATCTTTTCCTCCTTTGATTTATTCAGCAGAAAGCAGCATTGGTTTTGGACAAAGAGAAGAGGGTACGCAACACGCAGCCAAACTACAGCTTTTTGTTCGTACAAAGAGTTGTACACATTTCGTGAAGACATGTCTGCAAGGTTCTTAAATGCCATTAACCTTGACTTCGAACTTTAAATAACCAACTTATCCGCTACAGTCTTCAATAAGCTGCCTCGAAAAGTCGTACACATTTCGTTAAGACATGTCTACAAGGGTTTTTAATGCCATTAATACTGACTTCGAACTTTAAATAAACAACTTCAGTATCCGCTAGAGTCCACAATAAGCTTCCTTGACTCTCGAAAGTCCACAATATTGGTAACACTCAAAAGAAAGCACATAGACAAACATGGACATGACATCATTCACCCCTGAAGAAGTTTTTTTGGGGGGGGGCCAAATTGGTGTCCCCAGATATATAGGTAGATTCACAGATCTTGAATTTTTCTGCATTACACGATTAGAACTGCATTCTGTCAAACGCAATTATTTTCTTCTTTAAAATGTGGGTGGCTAGCCACCCAATCCACCCCTGACAAATGAATTCTAAAGGAATGATCAAGTCTCAAGCAGGTCGAAAAAATGCCTGTAGAAGTTTGAACCGGAAGGGATAATATTCAGTTTTATTTTCGCTTGGAGCCAGGGTGTCCCAAAGTTGTTACCCAACCTCAATCTTCTTCAAATGCATCTTTAATCTTTAATCATTATTTATCTTTAAGATCCTTAACCTAAAATTCTAATTCTAATACTATATCAACTTACAAAAATATTCTACTTTTAAACCTGATTTCCATGAATGCCATGTGTGTAAAAATTATGATAGAGAAAGCATTTAAATTGATTTAATGAACCAAACTCTCTAATATTACAGGGTAAGCTGTTTCAAAGAGTTGCACCCCTGTTGCTAAAACTATTTTTCATGTAGTTAGTTCTTGGAAAGGGAACAACAAGTTTGTTAACCAAGTCTCAAAAAGCATAATTTAATTCATTTTGCATTACAAATTTAGACTCAAGATATTCTGGACCCAGACCGTTTAAAGACTTGCAAACCACAAGGGCTTTCTGAATTTGACCTTGAGATTTCTTTCCAGTCTTTCCAGTCAGTCTTTCCAGCTGAGTTTGAAACAAGGAATCAACATCAGCATCATAGCCCGATGAAGTTATTACTCGTGCAGCACAGTTTTGTAGTTTTTGTAGCTTGTTACATGTTTTTCCATAATTACCCTAAACTAGGCTGCAGTAATCAAAGTGAGGTTGAACTAGTGAGTTGTATATGCAGAGTAGGGTAGATTGAGACACAAATGGCATAGCTCGCTTTATGACTCTTATTGCAGAAACAATCTTTTTACACAGATCAACACAAATTCCATTTTTGTAGCGTTCAAGGTAAATCTGCTGTCTGTGTGCCACTCTTAAGTGTGGCACACCACATTCAAGAATGGTGAAGTCAGTGAGACAGCCATTAACGGAGCATGGTTGTGCGCGATTAGTTAAATATGATTTAAACCAATCAAGAGTTTTCCCTTGAATTCCACACCAATTCATTTTAATTAATAGTATCTCATGATCAACAGCAAGTCGAGAAACACTACAGCATTCACATAGTCACAATCGATATTTAACGCCGAACTGTCAGTGGCTTCTAGAAAAGCAGTAACAGTTGAGTGTAAAGACTGGAAACCAGACTGTTATTTAGAGATGATTTCTTCACTGTTTAACAAGTTGTATAACTGATTGTACACAATCCTCTCCAACACTTTGGTGACTATGGAAATGACTGCGATAGGTCGGCAATTGTTTAAATCAGGTGACTCACCCTGTTTAAACAACAGAGTCACTCTAGCACATTTCCAGTCGACAGAAAATATGCCAGACATCAAGGATTTATTAAACAGATCGCTTAACGGGCCTGAAATAATATCAGCACACTCACGAATCAACTTAGCAGAGATAAAAATTAATCAACTCCTAGCACTTCAATTGAGTGCACTTGAATATTGTCAACCCAGCACCTCAAATGCACTTATTGTAGACCACTTGAGATCTCGTCTGGTATATAGACTTTATACTCATACTGTAAGTACTTTCTAAATGTTTGCACGGACTGTAATGATACACCCTATGCAGAATGAAAAGGGACTGGGAGTGACACATGCGAAAATGGCCGCCTGATGCAAAGGGCGCCAAATTTTAAATATGCCAGTAAATTGATGTGTTCCCAACTGCACCAAAAAGCTGTACAGGACTGAAAATGGGAAGAAAATTTCCTATTTCAAGTTTCCAGGTGATGTGAACCTCAAGAAACGTTGGCTGCACACTATTCATTGCAATGAAGGTAAAGAATTTAGAGTCAACCAAAACACAAAGATTTGCTCTTGTCGCTTCAAACCTGAGGACTTTGTTAAGTCTATCAGAAGCCAGCGTATTTATGTCGGGGAAGGGGTTGTGCCATCACATTTTTCTTGGTCACAAAGTTCTCTGCTAAAGGGAAAGCCTCCTAAGAGACACTTGTTTACATCAAATACAGACACCAAGTTGCTAGTATCTGAAACAAACAGTGCAACTGAAACCAATGCTGACAACTGCACTACACCAGCGGCTGGTAGCTCTCCTGATCATAACATTCAAAACGACACAGATATGCAGGGAGATACAACAGAAGATGTCAAAGAACTTCTTGAAAAACTGAAGAGTTTGGAGCTTGAAAATGCTCTACTAAAGGCTGAAAAAGAGGTTTTAAAACATCAGAAGGGTCTTGCAGATTCTCAAGTTTTTCAGTTGCGAAATTTTACCTCTGACGAGGACATTACCTTTTACACCGGCTTTCCTAACTTACCTACATTTAATGCTGTATATGAAGTTTTAAACACTGGAACGAAAGGGGAGAACATTAGGTACTCCTCATTAAAAGGAAGAAGTGTCCAAAGTGATTTTATGATGAGAATGAAAAGGAAACTGAGGAACCAGAGGAATGTACTAACAAAGGTAGAAAAAGGAGCTTAGAAGCAAGAGAAGAGTTTTTCCTAGTACTCTGCAGAATGAGAATGGGATTTGCAGAAAAACATCTGGTTCACTTGTTTCATATCTCTCAGTCAACAGTGAGCAGGATATTCCAGTCCTGGATAAATTACATGTATCTTAAATTTGGTCGGGAATCTCTATGGGCAAATAAGGAGGTTGTTAGAGCTACTATGCCAGACAGCTTTAAAGACAAGTACTCTTCCACCCATGTAATAATAGATTGCACAGAGATTAGATGGCAGATGCCATCCAGCCTTCTGTTGAATTCCAAACTGTTCAGCTTGTATATGGACCATGTAACTCTGAAAGGCTTAGTTGGAATTGCTCCCAGTGGAGCTAGAATTTTTATCAGTCAACTGTACAGTGGAAGTATTTCTGATTGCAAAATTGTTGAGAGAAGTGGCTGTCTGAAGTTAGAGTTTGATAAAGGTGACACTGTCATGGCTGATAAAGGCTTTACAATTGAAGATCTCCTTCCACTGGGTGTGAACCTAAACATTCCACCTTTTCTACGGTTGTATACCCAAATGACAGCACAAGATGTTATCAAGACCCAGGAAATTGCCTCAGTTAGAATACATATCGAATGAGCTATTAACAAAATCAAGAACTTCCACATTTGGATAATGCCGTACCACTTAGTCTATTTGGGGTAGTGAATCAAATGTGGAATGTCTGTGCCTTTCACTTATTTCCACATAACATTTAGACAAAGCAATAAGGCACTCTACAGAAAACAACATCATTTAATAAAAGAGTGACCCTAATGTTATGTCTCAGAAAGAGCACAGATTTGGTAAACTAGTGTTTTGGCACAACAATGACATGACTTTTCTCATGTTTACAGAATTCTAAAGCAGCTGGCTCTATAAAGCGATTTAAATAGCAGTTCTTGAGGCATTCATTCAATGTGTCCCAGAACTGAGGATCAAATGTGATCCTCTCTACACATGCCTTTGCTGGTGTAATTTACAAAATCACACCAGCTAGCCCCTGTAACAGCAAGTTGACACCGTATTTGCAAGTAGCACTGACGTCCCTTTTCAGTCTTGGCTGTCCATGTACATTTTCTGCAAAGAAACTTTCTTTTAAACACTGTAACTGGATTCCTAGTTGCAAACATATACTTTTCATATTCATTTAAGGCTACAGGTTCATAGGTTCTGTCTGCCTGGAAGTAAATGGCTTGGGATGAAGCACATTGTGTACTAAAGAGGCATGATTCCTTTTCCTTTTTGCAATGGTATGGAAATTAGAAGCCGTAAACCGAAATTTCCTTTAAGCATTCCATTCTTGGGATGCTCCTTGTTCTCTTGTAGTCTTCTCTATATTATTGAACCTTGCCTCATCAACAATCAAATAATCCAGGAGTGCTTCTTGGTTACTGCTCAAACAATCTGGCTTTTTTTACTGTTCAGAATGTTGCAAAGGAAATGTAGGAAATGCAGATATAGCATTTTCGTCATCATTACCATCATTACAGTCTGCTCTAGGCACTGAGTCAATATTACAGAAAACTTGCAAATTGGACTTGGAGAACTGTAACTGATAACTTGCATATGAACCACTTGGAGATTTTCCAAATTTTGTTTCCTGTAAGTTGGTACCACCTGGAGACATGATCTGAGACAGGGCAAATTTAGGATTGATCTTTTGAAGCTTGTCTTTCAACATAACTTCATCTGTTTGTGTCCTCAAGTTTTTCCTAGCCTTCATACAATAAACACCTCACACCACTATCAGGATTATAATTGCTATCTAATTTGGACCTTTTTACATTGAGTTCCATGACAGGTTGGGGCTTGATTTTTTCCCCTCTTGCAGGTCTGTGCCATAGCTGTAAACTTGAGGTTCATGCCTTAGGTGGTGCCATGTCAGATTCATGGTCAAACTCCTTAATATCTTGACAGCTATACAAGCTAGACTTACAAAGTTTCATAAGTGCAAGTACATGATTACAAAAGCCAACAGATCCCACTGTGCACGTGCATGAAGCATACTTTACACCTCCACTCCCTAAACAAAGTGCAACTTTTAATCTATGAGGGGCTTCACTATTTTTAAAGCTATGATGATACAAACATTGAAAAAAGAAATAGTCATCACTAGCAGCAACTATGTCCTTCAGGTATTCGTCCTCAAGGAATGTCTTGGCTTTTCTCCTGCTTGTTAGAACTGCATGGCTCTAATTACTTCCGTTAATGTTTTTTCCAGACTGAGAGACATGTAAATCCATTTCTGCCTTCATAAACAATGGCATTCATTGCAAACTTGTTGACCACCCAGTCAATGGAAATCTCACAGTACTTTCCTTTAGCAATGGATCATTCCAAGTTTGTAATTTTTCTTGTCTCTCCTTTCGATGAGTATAAATAAGGTTCCCATCCGGATCCACATCTCTATCACGACCTGAGGCCACATATTCAAGTACTCTATGGAAAAATTAGCACACCAGTTAATTGTCCAGAAACAAGTAAGCGACAGCAGGGACGTACATAGTGAGGGGCAGGGGGGGGCAGTTGTCCCTGCCAGGAAAACTAAATGTTTTTTTACATAGTGTTTGATTTTGCTGGGCTATTTCTTGTAGCTATATTGGTTCGAAATCTCAAGAAAACCCACTAATTGACTGAAACATCTTCCATCAATGTAAATTCCATTCTACGATTGTTTCGTCAAGCCAGCATGCGCAGTAAGGAACAAAGATTCAAGGTACGAGATTGTTCTCAATCTGCTGGGAAAATGTTGGGAAGAAAGCGCCCGGCTCCCGCTCAGTGAGGATGTTGTCGATCGGAAAATCGCATCTCATTAGTAACAACAAACACACTGGTCCAACCTTGTTGATTCGTTCACAGGCTATTATAACAAAAGCACTGTGAAAGAGGACAAACACATGAACATTCCTCGTTCTAACAACACCAAAGGTAGTATAAACGAAACATTGCATAGTCATCTACGCCACTATGAGAAAAGCACAGTGAAAGAGTACATAAACACATGGATATTCCTCATTCTAAAAACACCGGTGAAAGAGGACATAAACACATAATATTACTCGTTCTAAAAACACCAAAGGTAGTATAAATGAAACATTGCATAGTCATTTACGTCACTATAAGGATATCACAAGCTTTCGAACATCAAACTTTAGGGTGGTATAAAAAGAAAACAAAGCAATCTTTGAGAAATCAGAGACACTTTTGAAAGGCAATGTGTAACGAATCATTTGCGATGTTAAACACGTTGCGGCGATAATCATGGCTATAAACGAACTTGAAAAAAAAGAAATAAGAGAACGGCAGGGTTTCTGGCCCCTTGACTTGGGTGATAAGCAGTTTATTACATTTATGGTTAAGCCGTACTGCATTTATGGTTGGTCAGTTTATTACATTTATGGTCATATCTTATTACATTTACGGTTGGTGGATTTATTACATTTGTGGTTAAAACTGATTAAATTTATAGTCAGTATTACATTTATGGTTAATTCTTATTACATTTATGGTTGGTATTACACCTCTGGTTTTTATTACATTTATGGGTGATACATGAGTGAGCAAACCAGTAACATGCCACAACAGAATGCAAGCATGGAGTTTAAAAGTAAGACTTTAACAAAATGCTTGAACAGTTTGTTAATTGCCACGTTTTCATTTGGAAGTCGCTGTTAATGAGAAGGTGCAGAATTATGGCCCATATCTGATAAGCTTTTTGTTGTTCTAATGCAACCAAATGACACAGTTCATGAGAGTGATGGATATAGTTAATCCTGAGCAAATGCCCAAATAAAAGTTATTTTCCTTGGCCTCAGTTTCTTACTTTAATTTGACTCTCTTTGACTTGATTTCTTGCACTTAATTTTCAGACAGCCAGGTCAGCAGTTGCCTGTGAATGACCCTGGTAAAAAGGGTCTTCGTGAAATTCAGACGGAAACAATTTTGACTGAGTCAAAACAACTGTGTGGTTTTTCCTGAACATTGGGAATTCCAAATCCAAAGGGTCTGAGTACTATTTATCTCCTCCACTCAATTTGTGAAACAAAATAAAAAGGGCTTAGACAATGTATCAAAAATAAAGATTAGCAAACATTAAAACAACTCTACGATGCAATGCACCTCATCGCCAACACTAATACAACATTTCTCTGATAGTAATTTGACAGAAATAGCTCTCTACAGTGCCTGTTGTTTACTGCTACCTCTGGGTGGGAAAGAATGAGCTGAAATTTTTGTCTGAAGGCTTTCTTGAAAGCTTCCTTGAAATCTGCCATCAGTCTCTTCTCCACAAAGGCACAAACTGGCACAACACACTCCAAGTGCATTACATTTACTTATTTGATCATTGATCGGTGCATTTAGAGGGGAGACTACAACCACAAATCATTTGTCCTTTGCATCTTCCCTACTGCTGGCAACACAATCAAATAGTGAAGGTAGAATCTGATAAAGCAGTGATTTGAAGTACCAGCCAAACTATTAAACAGTCTTGGCTGTTAAAAAACAATCTTCTGTAGATCCTCTTCTTGCCTTAGCTTTATGGTAAGTGATGGTTACCACTGGAGCGATATAATCTGTGGCAATGCATGTGCAGTAGTGCTCTATATTTTGATTACCAAATCAGTTAATTCAAGCTGTGGGATTGGTTGAATTACCATTTTTTCTGACTTCTTTACAAAAATGCCCAGCAAAAACCAAATCTTTTGTCTACGTCATATCCATTGTTTCAAAGAATTTCAAGGGATATCCATCGTGGAAACAGTTGAAACAATTTCTCAAGAGATTGGACTCGACAGCCTCCATATTAGATTGCTATCAAAAGTCAAAACATGTGGAACAAGAATATTTCTGTTCGTCAACCAGTGCTAAATATTTTGTAATTTAGTGCTGTACTGTTGGTTTTGTTTTCAGGGCAATGCCACCAAAATAGCCCTTTCAAGCTGGAGACACATAACTATGAAAATATCAAATGCCAAAATTACCAAGAAATTTTGGCTTACATTTCAGATGATGTGTATCACTTAGCTTTAGGTGTGAAGATTTCAAACCATACTAAAGTCATGTGTTTTTCGGATCTATGAATAGCTTCTAGCTAGAAACAAGATAGTGCTGTAAACTGAATCAGTTCAACATTTAATCTCACTTCAGGGAGAATCTGTTGTTCAAGAGGATTTTGATTTGTGTATTCGGGAACCTTCATTCTCACGTGGTAAAATTTACTGCGGGTATGACACAGAATGGTCAAATGGTAAGCTTTTTTATTTCAATACGGGTAGTCGCCTATGTCCGTCATTATTAAATAGTTATTATTTGTCATAATTTTAAAATTCAGAGGAAAAGTGACCATGTGTTATCAGACAAAGTTTTCGTATCAGCAAGAACCAAATGAAGTCAAACTTGAATTTATGTGTTTTTTGCGGGTATATTTCCATGTTAATCAATGGACAGAAATATTTTTTGACAGCCACATTTCCTTATGTTAACAACTGTTTAGTTTGTTTTTAGTAAAATAATTACTGAACTGGCAAAGCTGAACACTGTTGCACTATTAATGTAATTGTACTGTTACGTACGAGGTGGCCTCAACTAAAAGCCTG